CTTGAAGGGTTTTAGAAGTTTGTTTCTTGAGTGAAAGAAGATCATGTTTCGTGTGAAGAATATGTAAAGGGATTTAGAAGTTTATTTCCGAGTGAAAGAAGATCATGTTTCGTGTGAAGAATATGTAAAGGGATTTAGAAATTACTGATTTTTAACAAATGAGAATGACATGATCAGTAGTTTCATATTTCTGTTGAGCTTTCCTGGAGGGGTTTTAAAAATTTAGTAGCTTCTAAATGGAAGAAGATGGCATAGTCAGCAGTTTCATTTTTTTCAAGTGTGCTTTTAGGGGGGTTTATGAGTCTTTTAGAGATTTTTCCAAAATCACTAAACTAGCAAAGCAGTAAGTTAATGGTACTTACTGTCTCAGTGAAAATATTATATATCTTCTATAATGTAGGATACTGAATTTGCTCTGGTTGATAAGAATAAATAATTTGATGAATCTCTAAGTAACATACACTGCATGTTATTCTTGTGTTTAGCTGCTAATTTTTTTAACATTTATTTTGACTTTAGGAATATTAATGGATTTATTTATAGTTAAAAATATTTTGTTGATTGTTGAAATTATCTTCTTTAAAGTTATTTTTTAGTTATCCATTCCACTGGCCCTCCAGTGGTACAGCAGTATGTCTGCGGACTTACAACGCTAGAATCCGGGTTTCGATACCTGTGGTGGGCAGAGCACAGATAGCCCATTGTGTAGCTTTGTGCTTAATTACAATCAAACCATTCCACTGAATGTAAGCTTATTACTTTTGTCTAAAAATAGAACTACTTATTTTTTTATGAAGAGGTGAATAGTTTTAACCTGAAAGACACTGGAGTCGGTTTCACCATTTAGAGTGTTGCAAAAACAAATCTTGTGTCATTGTTTTTAACAACATGAAAAAGAATATATTGGCAAAGGTGTGTCACGTGCATTATTATATAACATATTTTTTCTTTCTCTCTAATTAATTAAAATACTTGCTACCAGTTTCTTGTGAATGTGAAACACTAATTATTTAAACACACTATGACCACCATACCCTTTCTGTTTATTCATCATCATCCTTAAACTTGTATAACACACTATGACCACCATACCCTTTCTGTTTATTCATCCTCATCATCCTTAAACTTGTATAACACACTATGACCACCATACCCTTTCTGTTTATTCATCATCATCCTTAAACTTGTATAACACGCTATGACCACCATACCCTTTCTGTTTATTCATCATCATCATCCTTAAACTTGTATAACACACTATGACCACCATAACCTTTCTGTTTATTCATCATTATCCTTAAACTTGTATAACACACTATGACCACCATACCCTTTCTGTTTATTCATCATCATCATCCTTAAACTTGTATAACACACTATGACCACCATACCCTTTCTGTTTATTCTTCATCATCCTCTACATGTAGTAGACAAACTATATGAATTTGATAAATCTATTTAAATGGACAAAGAATGGGTAACTGTTTGTTGAACCATAAGAAAGTCTATCTATATAAATAATACACTTGCATTTATCTGTCTGGAACCTTCTTTACAAATCTATAGATCAAACTCTAGAAATCTCATGTCATTAGAAATGCCTCTGTCTGAGGAATCCAGATTACGTATTGGGTTTTCCATTCAGAATCACCTTACCTGTTTTTTGCTTAGCCAAACTTTTTAATCCAACTACTATGCTATATGAAGGCACAATGTTGTTGTCATCACATGACGACTGGCTTCAATTTCAACTTTAGTTTTTTTATTTTCCAAATATCTCTCACAAGCAACACTTAACCCATGTGTAATTTCCTAATAATTTAACATTACACTAAATACAATTTCTGTGGGCTTTCTCAACTTATTTAGGTCTAAAATACACATGCGCAGTTCATTCAAAGCCATAGGCTTATCACTTTGTGGACACACATTCAGATGTTTCTGCATGTTAACTAAGTTTGCCTTCATTACAACTTTACATTTACTGGTTTATAGACTGCTATAAACACCTTTTAGTTAGTTTTTCTTTATTACAGGGTTTATTCGTCATTTTTGCGAGTTCCTTTGTAAAACCTTATCGTGCACTGAATGCTCATAACTGTTTCATTACTCTGTACACTATTATAAATACCATTGCTTACTTTACATGTAGTTTTATTAAACAAAATTATGTATGTGAGTTTGTTTGTCTGACCACTTAAAATTTTTCTAAATAGACCAGGATTTATTGATCTAACACACAATGCCTGCAAGAAAATGTAGCTTAAATGGTGTGCATGAAAATGAAAAAATAAGAAAAATTCAAACTAAGGGTATGAAAACTACTGCTACTACGTCATGGTTACTATTAGATAAAATACTTGTTATTAATATGTAGAGAATATTGTTGGACAGTGTGAATGTGAAGGACAAGTGCATATAAAATATCTTTGAAAACAAAAACTAAAAATAAAAAGTGTTACAAAATAATATAACTAAGTGATACCATTATTGTTTGGAGATTGGGGGAAGTTTCATTTGATTCTTAATGTTAAAATAATTCTAACTTTGTAGAGACTGCCTTTGGAAAAAAGGGAGACATGTTTTTACTGCATAAACGTTATAAATGTTTGTAGTTAATAAATGGATGACAGGCATAAAACTGTTTCACATAGCCACACAACCATATTCTAACATATGATGAATGAAAATTTTCTAAATTTTAAAAAGTATCTTCAGTATAAAATATTTTTCTATGATAAAAATGCCACGGTGTCAACACGAAACTCAAAAGTTTAAAACAGACAAAACCGTCAGTTCCCAGCAATCTTTTTTTTTGCTTGCTCATCAATGATATATTTACTGTGAAACTTTGAACCTGGTAAGAATATTTTGGTAGTAAACAAGAGGCAAGGTTGCAATTTCATCATAAGAGATTTAACACTCTTACATGATGATTACCTTTATTTTTTCTCCTTATCAGGGCATAGAACAATTAAGTCCTAGAAAGGCTGTTGGAACAAATGTTATGAAAGTCTTCAGAACAACTAGCTAAATTGTTAAGAGTACAGATATAGGATTCTGTACTTCTAACAAAAAATGAACTGGTAACATTAATTTTTGAAATGTAGACTGGCTTAGTTACATCTTCAGTATGTTTAAGGATTAAATCTGTTAAACATTAACATATGAAAAGGATTATCGACTCTATTAGGAAAATATGAACTTGGTAACCCTTGCTTCCTGGTATTCAACATGTGTATAATGTAGTCCATCTCAAATGTCTTTTTAGAATTTTCTACATTTTTGAAATATGTAATTATCTGACTCCTGCATCAGTTTTTGTTTTAATAACAGTAAAGCATAATTTGTGGGTTTGTGATCTTTTGTATGCTGATTTTTTCTATTTTTATGTCGGGAAACGGATGACTTTATATTGCCTTTAGTTATGTATTTTCTCTGAAACTTAATAGTGTTATTCTTCCTTCACACGAAAACTGAAGGCTGGTAACTTTTCTTTGTGATAGTATATGATAATGACATAAATACCAGGTGCTACTTATTTAAGAGGCCCGGCATGGCCAGGTGGCTAGGGTGCTCGACTCG